TGCAAACTATGTAAGGAAATGGGAACTTGGGTGAAGGGACCCTCTGCCTACAGTTGGGAGGAGGGTAACGGGTTTTCAGGGTTCAGAGTCCATATTAAGGTGCTTCCCTCTATTTATTATTTATTTATTTATTATTTGAATTTGTATCCCACACCATCTGGCAACCAGGCCACTGGGCGGCTAACAGCAATATGAGTGCATGCAAACTATGTAAGGAAATGGGAACTTGGGTGAAGGGACCCTCTGCCTACAGTTGGGAGGAGGGTAACGGGTTTTCAGGGTTCAGAGTCCATATTAAGGTGCTTCCCTCTATTTATTATTTATTTATTTATTATTTGAATTTGTATCCCACACCATCTGGCAACCAGGCCACTGGGCGGCTAACAGCAATATAAGGCATAATATTAAAAACACGATAAAATAGATTAATGCATAACAAATAGGGCAATTAAAACAGATGGTGGTAAAAAGGGTGATGGAGAGGATGGCAAAAAGAATGGTAAAAAGGGAGGGCGAGATCTTAGTGCTCTGGGAAAGCCTGGCGGAAGAGCCAGGTCTTCAGTGCTCTTTTGAACCCATCCAGCGAGGGTGCCAGGCGGATCTCAATAGGCAGGTTGTTCCATAGGTGGGAGCAACCACCGAGAAGGCCCAGTTTCTTGACCTTCGGGGTCAAGGCCCCCAACCACCCTGCCTGTGAAGAACAGATATTGTGGATAGATCTGGCTGGGAGCAGGCGTCGTGATAGGTACCGAGGTCCTAAACCACTTAGAGCTTTGAATGTTGTCATCATAACCTTGAAGTCGACGCGGAAACGAACCGGTAACCAATGAACCAATCTATGGTTGTCTCTTCCTTGCATACCAAGTTGCGGACATGAAGCTCTCATTGTGCTTCTGAGTCCAGGACCCTACAGATCTAAGGGATCTGAGGGGAGACAGCTGATAGTCCTCACCCCTTCTTTACTCAAACAGGATTTTCTCAATTAGAGAGACGATGGCATAATCTGCCACTGGTCTGAAGCTTCCCTGGGAGAGTAATGGATTTTACCAGGAACATTATCTTGTTGCAATGCAATGCAAAGCAATGCAGAGTGAAGCGTGATGCTTATATACTGCCCCATAGTTCTTAAAGCACTATCTGGGCAGTCTAGAATTTGACAATGCAGGCTATACATTGCCCCTCCCCCACAAGCTTGATACTCCCAGAGGTGGACTGGCCAGTTGGGGGAATACAGTTGGAGAGTTTTTTGGGGGAGGGGATGCAACATTTCTGAAGGAAGGAAGCCATTATATGACCTCTGCTGGGGGGACCTTCAGTGGATCCCAATGCCCTACATTATGCTAGGTACCTCAGCTTGCTTTTTAACCATCAGGTTTTGGAGTGAGTCCTGGCAGAAGAACTCAGGGTTCAGGTTTCCTTGGTGAAGTTGATTAGCTGGATCCATTTCAATCTGGGTTCAGGCTTACTTTGAAACAGCAACAGCCTTGTTTAGTCATGATATATTTCAGAGTCATTTCGCGGATACGGCAATTGTGGATGCCATTTCTTGATGGTTTGGGACCTCCTATGACTCAGCATTCTAGAAGGTTCATCTAGAAGCATGTTTTTCAGCCTTCTGACCATTAGCTGACAGAATCCCCTCAAAACTTGGCATTGAGTCTTTTGCTTTTTAAATATCTACATGAAGCCTCTGGGGGAGGTAATCCAGAATTTGGGAGTTGGGTCTTAGCAGTATGATAGCCAGTTCTGTTTCTCTTTGCCTCCTGATAGTCTATGCAGTGTTGGCTTTGAAAAGTGTCCAGAAGCTACATCTAATGTGAAGTGTGTCAAACATGCGATTGCCCAGTATGTGTTTTGATGCTGAATTACAGTGTTATTGAACCAATTGTCCTGGCTTCCAGTTTGCTTCTGTGCTCAGTTAAGATTGCAGGTTTTTGTTTTTCATCTGGAGTGGTACAAAGCCATAATATGTGAAAGATACATAATATGTGTCAGCCTGAAGTTCAAATTCCTCAGCAGAAGCCACACAAGACAAGGCTTTCTCTGTAGCATGCTGAACTCTTTCAGTCTCTAGGATTGGATTTTATAATCTGGGTTTTACAGAATGTTTTGGATCTGCTTTTATAAAATGCTTTTAATCTCTCACTCCTCAATGATATTTCAAATCTGTTAGTAATGAAGGCTTCTGGGAGCTTTAGTTCAAGAACATCTGGGGATCCAAAGTTGGAAACCACTGGAATAAACAAATGCTATAAACAAATGAATGAATGTAATGCATCATCTTCACAAATCTATGTTTCTTCTATTTTGCCCCTCCCTTTCTTCTTGTAAGCATATGAAGCTGCTTAAAATGTTCACACTTTTTTTTTCAAACCAGTGGAATATTACAGATTATTTTTAGGCAAGGATGGAGAACACGTAGGCTTTCCAATGTTGCTGAGCAGCAGCTTTAATCATCTCCTGGTATTCCTGTCAACAGTGAAGAATGATGGGATGTGTAATCCAATAACTGTTGAAGACTGATATGTTCCCAATTTGATTTTTAAGAAAACATGCCTTTAAAGATGTTTAGAGAGAAGTGTTCGAACATGTTATTAAGTGAAAGAAATTGGAAATAAATTGCTAAATCCAAAGTTAGGTCTACCTAGCGTTGAAATCTATGGGAGGTTGGTTAGTTGAGAATAAGTCCAGTTCACATCAGTGTGTCTACCCTATATAGGACTAATGCTGGATATAATCTATTGAAGGAAGATGGAAACATGATGTAAAGGCCAATTTCCCCTTTTCTCTTCAGTTTACTTAGTTAAAAATAAGTTCCATTTGATGAGGTAGACCTTCCATATACATGGTTAGATTGTAGCCTATCAAAGAAAGAAATTGCAATACTAAATATAAGTTTGAGAGATCTACAGAAAAAGACAGAATTGACAGCAAACTAATTTAAATTAATGGGACTGAAGTCAGTCATGTCTAATGTTATAATTTAATATAACAAATTGGTGTCTAGGCATTTATTTACTACAGGGAACAGCAGATAATTTTTCCTTGTCTCAAGAGTCAGTGATACTGATTACAGATCTTCCACCTTGTGGGGATGATTCACATCCATCTGTATAAACAGCTAGGAAAGTTTAGGATGAAGGTCTGAAGTGTAGCAAAACAAACCACATCCTGTAATAAGAGTGATGGATGGAAAAAAACCCTCTGTTGTTACTTTCAAGGCAGAGAAGGGTCGCATGATGAAATATCTTTGGTGGCTAAATGCATTTAATATTGAAAACCCTAAAAATAAATGCTACTTTAAAAATGTTTGAAAGTTCTGTAAATATTTCAGATGCACTGATATAAACAATAACAATAGAGAAATTCCTTTCCTTTTTATATTTTCCTTTTAACTTAAGTCTTGACAATGGATCATTTAACAGTCTGTCCTAGTACAAAAGATCTACATTATTTATTGTTGAATTAAATGTCTTTTAAAAAATTACAACGTGCTATCATGGGTGAAAACTCTGGGAGGCAGTGGAAGACAGGAGGGCCTGGCGCGCTTGGTCCATGGGGTCACCAAGAGTCGACTTAACGACTAAACAACAACATCATGGGTCAAAAGGAGACTAATTCGGTGTCACAAATAGCTTAGGACATAGATTCTTAACCTGTGGCCTGTGAACCCCTGGGGGGCTGTGATGTCCTCACAAGGCATTCACAAAGGCTTGAAGAAATGTAAAGAAAGAAAGAAAGAAGGAAACGTAGAACAAACTCTTAAATTCCCTTGCTTGTTTTTGCAAAACTCGGTTTTTCTAAACTACAGCCTCCATTAAAAGCAAACAAAAGTACAAATTTGGTATGAAAGTAACTGTTCGATAGCAAATAACTGACATTTCTGCACACTGTGACAATATGCAAATGAATGATGCTGGGTAGCTGAGAGACAGCACATGACATTTTCTGTTACTGTGCAGACAGTCAGAAGCCATGGGAAGAGAGTCAGAGTCAGTCAGTGTCAGTGTGGGTGAGTGTTTGGACAGACTTTGCAATTGTGTTTCTTCTTTGATTTCTGCTAATAAAACTATTTGGATAAAGTGATTTTTGAATAATATTTCAGTGAATTTTGTGACAATACATGTTGGTTGAGCCTCAGAACGGATCTCTGGCTGAATTTGAAATGTTAAAGAACTGATGCTATTGTTGAGATGTGTCCTGTTCAAAGCAAAATGAAGCTTCTTCCAGTCATCTTAAAAAGTGTTGCCGTTATAGCAAGGAATAGCTATTGATAAGATCCTTCATGAGAAACTTTAGGTTTTTAAATCTTGAGTTAAGTTTTGGTGGTCAGCAGCAACAGAATATATTTAAAGGAGTTAAGAACCGCTGGCTTAGGAGAAAATTGAAGTGAAGGGAAAGAGAATAAAAATCAAGTTGTTGGGGGCAGGGGAATAATTTTGTTTCTGTTTCAGACATTAAAAAAACCTTTTAAGATAAAGACCTGAGTTATGTGTATATGTACCATGTTTCCTCAAAAATAAGACAGGGTCTTATATTAATTTTTGCTCCAAAAACACATTAGGGCTTATTTTCAGGGGATGTTTTATTTTATAATGTCATCTTCTGGTTGCTGCACAATGGTGGAGAGCGGGGTTTCACTTAACTAGGGTTTATTTTTGGGGTAGGGCTTATATTATGAGCATCCTGAAAAATCATACTAGGGCTTATTTTTAGGTTAGGTCTTATTTTTGGGGAAACAGGGTAGCTAATATTATATCTAGACCTGCTCCTCTTTTGTTTTTCTCTCCCCCCCCTTGCTTTTCTCTCCTCCACCCCCCTTCTTTCCCAGCCCTTCAGTGGCCACCATGCTTCCTGTAAGGGCAGGATCTGACATGGCCCCTTTGGTACTGTCTTTCTCCTCCTCCTCTTCTGTCTTGCTTTCAGAAACCTCTGTACATTTAGAGACTGATCTTGTGCAGAAAATATCCCTGACATTTGAAGAGCTCCAGGGATTCAGTGAGCATGCTCAGTCATCGCGGTCTGCTAGAAAGAGGAAGCTAGTTTACATAGGAGTCATACCAAGCATAGCCTGCATGTCAGTGCAGTTAACTTGCAGCGGGGCTGTGAGGAAAATTAGCATGTCTTTGTCCTAGGAAGTCTTTGCTGTTCCAGTTTTCCCTCCCCCTCTCCTCTCCTTCCGAGTGAGAGCTATGAGAAATTTTAACAGTAACGGAGGACACAATTTACCTCTGACTCTCTCGTTCTAAAGCCCTGGAAGGGGATTTCTTGCTCCCTCCCCTCCTCTTTCCCCCCCTCAACTCATTTTTTTTTAAAAAAAATACACTTTGTTTTGATTAGTCGGAGGCTGGGCCCTGAGCTTGTGGGACTCGGAAAAGAGCCAGGGGCGACTCAGCAGCCTTTGCCTAGTGTACTTGTCGCTGTTTTGGTGGGCGAAAGCAAGCAAGCTGGTCTTCTTTGCTAGCCCACTAAATGCTATTTATGAAGATGGACCTGTTGAATTACCAGTACCTGGACAAGATGAACAACAATATTGGCATTCTCTGCCAATATGAAGGTAACTGCGAATCATTCTGTACTGTTGTTCTATTCCGTTGTTAAGTTCGGCACAGATCACTCTTATGTGCCAGTTGTTGTGCTTTTTCCTAAGTAGAGTTGATATTCAAAAAATGCATTTAGAGTCTGATGATTTTTCTGCCGACTCCCTGGCGAGGCAACGACTACATTAATTTAAGACTTGACATTGTGTTCCACAATGTGTAAAATGTTTATGAATTTAATGTCATTGTGTGAGGGGACTTTTGTTCAGTATCTTTCTCTGGTCACTGAAGGCTTTGCTGTATGTGGATGGTTTTTTCCCCCCTTAAAAATGTGCATGATCTCTGTATGCTTTACTTCCATGTAGGAATATGGACGGATTGAAACAATGACTAAGTGTGTTGGTTTCTTTGGCTCTTGTGTTGGTTTCTTTTTAGTCTGAGGTTGATTACTGTTGTTAGGATACAATAAAGAGAGTTTACTACTCGGCTCCGGGGATTGAAGGGTGTCTGTAGTACAGAATACAGAGTGGCCCTTTGTTTGACTTCTCATTTCCTGTACAGCTCTGAGAAAACTCTGACACAGAGGGCTGCCTCCCCTTCTCTTCCCTCCTTAAACCCACGTCTCCTCCCTCACGAACCCCTTCAGCAGCCTGTCTCTAGCAAGCAAAAGAAAAAAAAGAAAAAGAACCACACAGCTGCTAGAAAACACAACTTTATGGCCATCTTCTGTGTGGTTTCTTTATCCTCTCCATTCCCACCTCCATATTTGTGCCTTGTGCGTATGTTTGTTTGTTTCTAAAACTCAAATTCAGGAGTGGTGTTGTGTTCCCCCCCCCACACCTCCTTAAAAGCTGCTGGCAGCCAGGAGCGCTAGGACTAAGCTGCTTTTTTAAAAAAACTAGTTCAGTTTTATGTACGTGCAGTTCAAAGAAGCTGTAATGGCTTGGCTTAGCAAGGAAAGAAAGGCACCCTTGAGCTAATTCTGCTTGGCAGGAGGGCTAGGGTTTTTTGTGTTTTTTTGGCTTTGTTTTGTTTTTTGTTGCTACACACAGAAACAGAGCACAGTTTTCTTCTTTTCCAAATTTCTAGTTGGGAAATTTTCCATGTTTGTGAAGAGAATGAGCTTTATTCTTGTTATCTGTGAAGGACATGTCAGGGATACCTAAGTGAAAATCTGCTAAGATTAGGGGGACAAAGTAAATTAAATGAGGTGTTCGCGAAACATCCAGGTTGGAAACTTGTCAGTTGAAATCACAAGGCCTGCATTTTCAAGTTAAGGAGAGAATTGTTTTGTATAACCTCCTAACTACTCTTAGGAGTGCGACCGTTTTAACATGTTGGAAAACTGCAAATTTTAAAGGTGACTGTAAGCTTAGACAGGGTGGAGGAAAAACAAGAGGGCAGAGATCAATGTGATGGTTCAAGACCTTATCTCAGATGTTTTGAGAGACTTCCTTGCACATTTCCATCCTTTTTTCCTGTCCAAATTATGCTGCTTTGCCAACATTTGCCAGTAGTATTTTTTAAAAAAGATATTATGGTGTGTTGAGTCTGTAATGTACTGTTTGCTGCTTTTGTTACTTTTAATGTAAGAATTCACCAGGTATGAATTAAAAGACAGGGAAGAAAATTCTTGGAAAGGTATTGCAACAGTTAATTTATTTTAATTTAGTATGAAATTATAAAGCACTACCACATATATGTTGCTAATATTTGTCACTCAAAAGGATGGTGACAGCAATGGTAGCACAATCAAGTCACTTTTAAAATCCCACTGATTTATGAGGGAATTAACTCTTCTATGGGGGCCAGAGAGAGAATGGGGTGTCATTAATTCTCTTAGAACAGTTATTCACAGTATATACATTAGGACCAAATGTCTTTCTTATTGCTTATTTGTTTGCTTGCTGAGAATCATTCAAGAATCATTGGTGCTGAGGGAGGACATGCAGGTTCAAGTTTTATTTGGCAGCATAATTGTGAAAAACTTCATTAACTTTGGTGTTGTGCATGTGAACAGATATTTGTATAAAATCACACCTAGTGATCTTTAAGGTATGTGATATTTTCTTTGAGAAAGCTTCATGAATTGTGAACACGAATATATAATTTATTGAACACAAACTCTTGTTCCTAAATTATATTTAATTCCTATTTCCAGAATAGATCCTGCTGGGCATGGAATTTGGAGGTGGGATGGGGGGTTGGACTACAAATCCCATAATTCTCAATTCTGTGAATTCCACCTGTCAGACCTACATCTACAGACACCTCATGGCAGCTCATTTGGGACAACTTTTTTTCATAGGAAACTAGGACCAAGCTAGGCCTATGAAGCCATCCCAGCTAGGTCTTTCATCTAATTGAATTAAATTGAAGTGTCCGTAAGTGTGGGTCTGTCAGGTGGAAATACAAGAATAGAGAATTATGGGACTGGTAGCCCCTCAAAAAAACCCCACCAAAAACTCATGCCTAGGTTTTGCTTTGTATCATCCTACGGGACTTGTTTTCCCAAGAGAGATCACTGCACTAGAAAGCAGAAGGATGAAGAACTTTGGATACTGTGATTTAGCTTATTGAACATAATCTTCCTTGTAGGAAATATGTGTATAAAGAGAAAATGGGGATTATGGAAGTGAATGAAATGCACCTGCCTGAATAACTTGCTGGTATGGCCATATCCACTGATGGATATAGCCATTAAAAAAATCCCTGAGAGAGAACCACTGTTCATTCTCAGAAACTTTAATGCTAGAGCTGATTACAATTCTTGGCCCACTTGTCTAGGCCATTTTGGCACTGGGAAGATGAACGAAAATGGCCAACGCTTGCTGGAGTTTTACTGTTTTTATGGTCTTTGTGTCAGCAGTACGCTCTTTAATACGAAGCTTCAACACAGAGTTTCCTGGAAACATCCAAGATAGAAGTATTGGCATCAGCTCGATCTGATCCTCACTAGATGCTCGAGCCTTCCTAGTATTACGATCACACGCAGTTACCCGAGTGCTAGTTGCGATACTGATCTCTCCCTGGTGTGTAGTAGAGTAAACTGCGAGCAAAGAGATTGTATCACACGAAAAAGGAAGTAAGTCCACATATTGATATCAGCAAGACTCGCGATCAAAGAAAAGTGGAGGAATTTGCCCAAGAGCTTGGGGAAACCCTTCCAGGCCCGGCTGATGCAAATGCACATGAACGATGGGAACATTTCAAGAATGCTGTTTATAACACCGCCTTGTCCACATTTGGCAAGAAGACCAAAAATACGGCACACTGGTTCAAAGCCCATTCGGAGGAGTCGATGCCAGCCATCAAGGATAAGAGGAGAGTTGTAGCAGCATACAAAGCCTGTCCTAGTGAGTGCAACTTGCAGACACTTTGACTTGTTCGTAGCAAAGTCCAGCAGGCTGCCAGGAGATGTTCCAACAATTATTGGCTTCAGCTCTGCTCTCAGATACAGATAGCAGCAGACACAGGTAACATTAAGGGAATGTATGACGGTATCAAGCAAGCTTTAGGTCCAATACAGAAGAAATCTGCTCCCTTGAAGCATCCTACAGGCATGATCATCCAGGACCGAGCACAGCAGATGGAACGCTGGGTGCAGCACTATTCTGAGCTGTATTCCAGAGAGAATGTAGTAACCAAAGAGGAAATAAATAACACCGACTGTCTTGGAAGAGCTGGATAGCGAACCAACTTTAGCAGAAATAAAAGCGGCCTTGGATTCCCTTGCTTCCGGCAAGGCACCTGGGAAGGATAACATCCCTGCTGAAGTGCTGTAAAGAGATAATCACCACTGAGCTGTATGAAATCTTTTGTCTTTGCTGGAGGGAAGGTGGAGTACCACAGGACATGAACGATGCAAACATCGTCACATTGTATAAGAACAAAGGAGACAAGGGCGACTGCAATAACTACCGTGGCATCTCTCTTCTCAGCATTGTAGGGAAGCTGCTTGCCCGTGTTGTGCTGAAGAGACTCCAGGTGCTTGCAGACCGAGTCTATCCAGAATCACAATGTGGATTTCGAGCTAATAGCTCCACCACTGATATGGTATTCTCCCTCAGATAGTCTCAGGAGAAATGTAGGGAACAACGACAGCCACTCTTTGTGGCCTTCATAGATCTCACAAAGGCCTTTGATTTGGTTAGCTTGGATGGCCTTTTTAAAATACTTCCCAAGACTGGATGTCCACCTCGACTCCTTAACATCAAGTCCTTTCATGAGGAAATGAAGGGCAGTGTAGTTTTTGATGGCTCAACATCAGATCTCTTTGACATCCAAAGTGCTGTGTCTTTGCACCGACCCTGTTTGGGATCTTTTTTGCTGTCATGATGAAGCACGCCTTTGGAACTGCAACAGAAGATGTCTATGTCTTGGCCAGATCAGATAGAAAGCTCTTTAATCTCTCTAAATCAAGAGCGAAGACCAAAATCCAGCTGAAATGCATTTTGAAGAGACACTTGCCCAGCAGGCCAAGGCAAAGAGGCAATCCCGAACCCAGCAAAATCAGGGAGCTGGTCAGGGGATAGATTGTATTTGTCTTCAGTGTGGAAGGGATTGTCACTCTCAAATTGGCCTTCTCAGCCACACTAGACGCTGTTCCAAGTCCTTCATACAGACCACATTACCATAGTCTCTCGAGACTGAAGGATGCCTAATCTAAAATGGTCTTTAAATTGAAAGTTGAGCTTTTAAGGGTGTTCCAAAATAATCTTCATATTTATACAATGTATAAACAATTTCTCATTAGAAGTGGAGTTACAGATGTCTTCTTATGAGGTATCACTTAACTGTATCTGTCAGGCAATAATATGTTTTTGCTTGCAAACAAGTGATTCCTCACCCCATCCCACTCCAACTTCAGTTAAGACAATAATAATAGTTAATTTGACTGCTGTATGGGATTGTAGTAGTTTCATCTGCTGGATAGTGGTTAAGAGGTCCCTGATAACCAATTGTGTGGCTATCCCTCCTATCTGGCTGCTTTGTTCTCTTTAAAATTATCTGCCAG